TGCACTTTTGCTCTTAGATACGTCAATATCGAGATAGATACGAAAATATGAAAATTTTATGAATTTGTAGCCCATACGAATAGTGGAAGCCACATATTAGTGTGGACAAATTTGATTCTCCAATGCTTGTGGGTTCTATTTGTATTCGTGTTCCTCCGAGATTACTTCGCTTTGACTTTTTATTTATAACACCTACTCCTAGAAGCAAATGGCCAAAAACAAAACACTAATTAATATTGATATTTACACTTTAAAAACTAAACTTTTAGGTATCACCTAAAGTGTGATACATCAAATAAGGTTCAAATTTTCTGATCTTTACGAAAATATTGTTTATTTAAATTTAATATAAAAAATGTTCCGTTAAAATTTTCCAAATGAATCAAAATGATGATTAAATAAGATCGAAATATATTATTGGATTGTTTACGTCAAAAATAATCCAAGTCTTAATCGGATAAAATGAAAATTAAATTTTGCGATTTGTATAAATTCGCGTTAATTAAAGTTTTAAGGGTTTTTAAGTAATCAAAGGCAATCTTAAGTAGATAAACTTCATTCTAAGGCGAAGGCGATTAAAAAAATCTTTACCGACGCGACATTAAGCGTTGTTGTTGTGAATTAAATTTAACATTTACCACAGATGCAGACGCACTTTGCGATACGATAACTCGGTAATTGCGGCTCTTCGGGCATTATCTCTTCGAGATGGTATCGCTTCGAATAGTTAGGGTTATAAACACGGTTATAAAACACCTTTCGGTCCCGATTTAACCGATTTTAAGGCCGTAAACTATCTCTGCAATAAACAACCGACTCTTTTTCGTTTGAAATTGTTGAGAACGACCCATTTTCTTATTTTAAGAAAATCTTTATCGAAAGGGCATTGCAATTAAAAACGTTTTTACGTTCGCAATTAAAATTTATATGTACACTCGAGTTTGTGTGCACATTAATTAATGTTTTGTTTGTTGTAAATGGTTAAGTTATAAATTTTGTTTGCATAAACAGATTTAAGTAATGTTTAAATTTTAATTAACCTACTTTGAATACGGGTATGATAAAAGATATTTTATTTGATTTTTAAATTTAATTAATAATCTGGGTTAACAACTCTAACAATAATAAAATTTTATTTTTAAATAAAAGGATTAAGTTGATTGCATCAATAAATTCGCATCGATAAGATATCGGTTTGTCTTCGTTAAAAATATTTTAGAGATTAATTTAATAACAACAATCGATTGATTGCGCAAATCGATTACGGTGCATTAACATTTAACAATTACATTATGCATACAGACAAGCGTCATGCAAATCAAGCAAGAATAATCGCTCTTATATTGACTTTTAGTGAAAGGCATCTTCTTCGTTTATTTTTTCCTTATTTGCAATTTTTTATAAACAAAAAATTCTTCCTTCTCCTCCACACCTAATACTTAATCGTGCGCGTTCCCGATTGTTAATAACAATCCGGACAATGACAGCACGATTTGCGCAATATGCATTATTATTTAATAAGCAGCTTGTTCGTCCTTTAAACATCTTTTTTTATTATAATGTTCCTTAAAATAGACTCGAAACGAAGCATACAAACCTAACTAAGCTAATTAGCCTAACTTCATTTCTCCTCGAAAGGATGGAAAAGGTAATTAATCAATACCTTTTTGCTTTTATTAAAAAGCAAAATCAGCAATTACTGCTCTCCATGCTTTGACAAGCATTTTAGAGGAAACAATTACAACCAAAGACATAGAGGGTGCTTTTGATAATACCTCGTACGAATCCATAGAGAAAGCTCTGAACGTAAAAGGCTAAACTGAAAAGTCGGCAGATCAAAGCCAGTGGTGGCCAAAAACAAGTCGTAAGATAGCACAACAACAGTTGGCATAAATCCGTCTCACTAATCTCACAATCCGTCCTACTCAGTCTCACACCACTTACTTCATATAAGCTTCAACTTCAATTTTTTTTTTTCAACTCTTCAACTTTTATAACAAATATTGTTGTAAATTTTATTGTTAGCAATATTGCTCTCTTGCACTTTTGTTCTTAGATACGTCAAAATCGAGATAGATATGAAAATTTGATGAATTTGTTGCTCTTTCAAGCTATTATAGGTAACATTTGGAAATCGGAGCATGCTATAAGAAAACTTTTATAACAAAAGTTGTTGCAAATATGATTGTTAACAATATTGCTCTCTTGTACTTTTGCTCTTAGATACGTCAATATCGAGATAGATACGAAAATATGAAAATTTTATGAATTTGTTGCTCTTTCAAGCTATTATAGGCAACACTTTGGAATCGGAGTTTCTTATAAGAAAACTTTTATAACAAAAGTTGTTGCAAATTTGATTGTTAACAATATTGCTCTCTTGCACTTTTGCTCTTAGATACGTCAATATCGAGATAGATACGAAAATATGAAAATTTTATAAAGTTGTTGCTCTTTCAAGTCATTAAAGGTAGCACTTTGGAATCGGAGTTTCCTATAAGAAAACTTTTATAACAAAAATTGTTGCAAATTTTATTGTTACCAATATTGCTCTCTTGCACTTTTGCTCTTAGATACGTTAATATCGAGATACATCGGAAAATATGAAAATTTGATGAATTTGTTGCTCTTTCAAGTTATTATAGGTAACACTTGGAAATCGGAGCATGCTATAAGAAAACTTTTATAACAAAAGTTGTTGCAAATTTGATTGTTAACAATATTGCTCTCTTGCACTTTTGCTCTTAGATACGTCAATATCGAGATAGATACGAAAATATGAAAATTTTATGAATTTGTTGCTCTTTCAAGTCATTAAAGGTAACACTTTGGAATCGAAGTTTCCTATAAGAAAACTTTTATAACAAAAATTGTTGCAAATTTGATTGTTAACAATATTGCTCTCTTGCACTTTTGTTCTTAGATACGTCAATATCGAGGTAGATACAAGAATATGAAAATTTGATGAATTTGTTGCTCTTTCAAGCTATTATAGATAACACTTGGAAAACGGAGCGTGCTATAAAAGAACTTTTAGAACAGAAGTTGTAGCAAATTTGATTGTTAACATTATTGCTCTCTTGCACTTTTGCTCTTAGATACGTCAATATCGAGGTAGATACAAAAATATGAAAATTTGATGAATTTGTTGCTCTTTCAAGTTATTAAAGGTAACACTTGGGAATCGGAGCAAGTTACAAAAAAACTTTTAGAACAAAAGTTGTAGCAAATTTTATTGTTAACAATATTGCTCTCTTACACTTTTGCTCTTAGATGCGTCAATATCGAGATAGATACGAAAATATGAAAATTTTATGAATTTGTTGCTCTTTCAAGACATTAAAGGTAACACTTTGGAATCGGAGTTTCCTATAAGAAAACTTTTATAACAAAAATTGTTGCAAATTTTATTGTTAACAATATTGCTCTCTTGCACTTTTGCTCTTAGACACATCAATATCGAGATAGATACGAGAATATGAAAATTTGATGAATTTTTTGCTTTTTCAAGTGATTAAAGGTAACACTTGGAAAACGGAGCGTGCTATAAAAAAACTTTTAGAACAAAAGTTGTAGCAAATTTTATTGTCAACATTATTGCTCTCTTGCATTTTTGCTCTTAGATACGTCAATATCGAGATACATCCGACAATATGAAAATTTGATGAATTTGTTGCTCTTTCAAGTTATTAAAGGTAACACTTGGGAATCGGAGCAAGTTACAAAAAAACTTTTAGAAGAAAAGTTGTAGCAAATTTTATTGTTAACAATATTGCTCTCTTGCACTTTTGTTCTTAGATACGTCAATATCGAGGTAGATACAAAAATATGAAAATTTGATGAATTTGTTGCTCTTTCAAGCTATTATAGGTAACACTTGGGAATCGGAGCATGCTATAAGAAATCTTTTATAACAAAAATTGTAGCAAATTTTATTGTTAACAATATTGCTCTCTTGCACTATTGCTCTTAGATACGTCAATATCGAGATAAATACGAAAATATGAAAATTTTATCAATAAGTTGCTATTTCAAGTGATTAAAGGTAACACTTGGAGAAAGGAGCATGTTATCAATAAACTTATAGAACAAAAGTTGTAGCAAATTTTATTGTTAACAATATTGCTCTCTTGCACTTTTGCTCTTAGATACGTCAATATCGAGGTAAATACAAAAATATGAAAATTTGATGAATTTGTTGCTCTTTCAAGCTATTATAGGTAACACTTGGGAATCGGAGCAAGTTACAAAAAAACTTTTAGAACAAAAGTTGTAGCAAATTTTATTGTTAACAATATTGCTCTCTTGCACTTTTGCTCTTAGATACGTCAATATCGAGGAAGATACAAAAATATAAAAATTTGATAAATTTGTTGCTCTTTCAAGCTATTATAGGTAACACTTGGGAATAGGAGCATGCTATAAGAAATCTTTTATAACAAAAATTGTTGCAAATTTTATTGTTAACAACATTGCTCCCTTTCACTTTTGCTCTCTGTTGCGTCAATATCGAGAAAAATACAAAAATATGAAAATTTGTTGAATTTCGCTATTTTACAAGTTGTTTATGGTAACAACCTGGATGCGAGAAATATTACAAAAAAACTTTTAGAACAAAAGTTGTAGCAAATTTTATTCTTAACAACATTCACTTTTGCTCTCGGTTGCGTCAATATCGAGAAAAATATGAAAATTTGTTAAATTTGTCTATAACAAACAACACTCTCTTCCCTGCTATATCGAGGTTTTGTTGTATCTATATAAAGCGGTGTTATAAATATTGTTGTTATCGGATCTTGGGATAACGTGCAGCTCGTTATGCCGCAAAACGGAAGTGGTCAAGGGGTTGGACGTCGAGTTGTTTTCGTGCTCGAAGCTATCCTTAACCTTTTCGACCGTTCAAATGCAAATTTATATCGATTTTAAAATGCAGTAAAACTAAAACTACGGTTACATCCAAATTTTTATAAGCCCACTTTTATTTATAATTTTTTTTTCAGATTATTGGTCATATAAGTGGTGGACACATAAACCCGGCGGTAACAATAAGCTTTTTCGTCGCCTGCGAGATGAAATTACTCAGAACGCTTTTATATATAGTCGCGCAACTTTTAGGAGCAGCAGCAGGTGCAGCTCTTTTAATGGTATAATCGCTTATAATCGCACCTCGTCGTAGAACCTTTTTAATCTTAATCGCGTCATTTTTTTAGGTTGCAACTCCAGATCATTTGGAAGGCCAACTCGGAGTAACCGATGTGGGGGAAGTAAACGTAGAACAAGCGTTCCTTTACGAAGTTATTTTAACGTTCTTCTTCGTTTCGGTTATCCATACGGTGGCTGATTCCCAAAGAAAAGATATAAGAAGTGCTCCTGCTATAATCATCGGATTAGCAGCCGCCGCTTGCCATTTAAGTGGGATTAAATTCAGCGGATCGAGTATGAATCCGGCAAGAAGTTTTGGTCCGGCTTTGGTTATCAATCATTGGGATAATCATTGGGTAAAAACGAATTAAATCCTTTAATTAATATAATCTTACTAAGAAAATTTCTTTTTTGTTTAGGTGTATTGGGCTGGGCCGATAATCGGGGCGTGCATCGCTTCGCTTCTTTACAAATTTTTCTTCAAACCGAAAAAATCCGACGATGAATCCTACGATTTCTGACGAACTAATCGAAAATGTAAAGATGCGAAGGAAAAAACGCCGTCCAATCATCGAGATCAAACTGATCAAACAGTTGTCATGACCATTTCATAGATTTACCATAACGAAGATTATAAAAATACGTAAATTCTTAGTTTTATATTTGTAAAAAATATTTTAGACGTTTCAAACTGTACATTTTTGGAATAATAGCTTTATTTATGTGGAAATATTAATAATCTAATTCGTCGCGATTGCTTCCGGTATTTTGTAAGCTAGGCATAAAACTCGTAGATTTTAAAAGGATGTATACAAGAAGAAATATATTATTAGAACAAAAGTTATTTTTGTATAAGATTTAATCCTTGTTAAATTAAATCAATAAAAAAGAACACATTAAATAATTTATAAAGGTATTCAAAAAACCAAATAATTAATTATTTATTTTCATTAAATTATTCGGTACATACAAATTAATTTATTATATTTAAAAAAGTAAGAAAAACCCAAAAATAAAGTTTTTTTTGTAATTTTTAAATATTTGTAATTTGGGTTGCATACACAATAGTTTTAAATTTTCAATACAAACAAAAAACATAACCTTAAAAATTTGACTTAATTGTTTAAAGTTGTTTTTATTATTAAAATCGTTTAACGTGTAATAATGTTAATACTAATAACATTATTTAAGTGATAACACGTATTTCATAGTAAAAATTTGATTTCTTCTAGTGAAATTGTAGGAAAGATGTAGAATTATCTATGAGGTTATCTAGAAGGAGCCAAAGGATAATTATAGAGGAAAAGCAACAAGAAACGTGGTGAAAAGGAGCTCTTTCTAGAAACTTTGAAGCTGTGCATTGAATAATACTCAAAAACTATCTCGGAAACTACTTAACGTAAGTATTTTTTATGTAAACTATACAATTTATTTTAATTTTAACTAATTCTAATACAAATTAAAATTAATGTAGTGTTAGTTATGTCTATATAAACAACAAGAAAATACAATCAAATACGTTTAGTTGGTTTCATTAAAAATGATTGATTTTAATTTCCATTATGAACTTAATTTGTAAAATTTAAATTATTAATAATATATGATTAATTCGGTACATAAAAATTAATTTGTTATATTAAAAAACAGTAAGAAAATACCCAAATTTAAAATTTTGTAATTTTTAAATATTTGTAATTTGGGTTGCATACACAATAGTTTTAAATTTTCAATACAAACAAAAAACATAACCTTAAAAATTTGACTTAATTGTTTAAATTTGATTTTATTATTAAAATCGTTTAACGTGTAATAATGTTAATACTAAAACATTATTTAAGAGATAACACGTATTTCATAGTAAAAATTTGATTTCTTCTAGTGAAACTGTAGGAAAGATGTATAATTATCTAGATTCATCACTAATTATGAGGTTATCTAGAAGGAGCCAAAGGATATTAATAGAGGAAAAGTAACAAAAAACGTGGTGAAAAGGAGCTCTCTCTAGAAACTTTGAAGCTGTGCATTGAATAATACCTAAAAACTATCTCGGAAACTACTTAACGTAAGTATTTTTTATGTAAAATATACAATTTATTTTAATTTTAACTAATTCTAATACAAATTAAAATTAATGTAGCGTTAGTTATGTCTATATAGACAACAAGAATATACAATCCATTACGTTTAGTTGGTTTCATTAAAAATGATTGATTTTAATTTCCATTATGAACTTAATTTGTAAAATTTTAATTATTAATAATATATGATTTATTCGGTACATAAAAATTAATTTGTTATATTAAAAAACAATAAGAAAACACCCAAAATTAAAATTGTTGTAATTTTTAAATATTTGTAATTTGGGTTGCATACACAATAATTGTAAATTTTCAATACAAACAAAAAACATAACCTTAAAAATTTGACTTAATTGTTTAAAGTTGTCTTCATCATTAAAGTGTTAGTTTTAATAGTATTTAAGAGATAACACGTATTTCATAGTAAAAATTTAATTTCTTCTAGGGAAACAGTACAAAGGATGGACAATTATTTAGATTCACCACTAATTGTGAGGTTATCTAGGAGGAGCCAAAGCCAAAGAATATTAATAGATGAAATGTCATGAAGAGGAGCTAGCTCTAGAAATGTTGAAGCTGTGCATTGAATTCTAAATAATACCCAAAAACTATCCTGAAAACTACTTAATGTAAGTATTTTTTATATAAAGTATACAATTTATTTTCATTTTAACTAATTTTAATACAAATTTAAATGAATAATCATAAAAATTAATTTGTTATATAAAAAAAAAGTGAGAAAAACCCAAAAATTAAAGTTTTTTTTGTAATTTTTAAAAATGTTGATTTATTTAACAACCATTAATTTGTCTTAGGCCTATCTGAAAGCGAATCTGTGGAAGATCTAACATTTTCTTGGAAGTGGTTGCTTATTCTTATGGCTAAAACAAGAGCTGTAGCTCTTATGCTACATCTAGGCAAATGAAATAATTCTTAAAAAACAATGTTAAGAGTCTTTAGACTCTTAGAGTCTCTTAGAGTCTTTTAGATTTATTATTGCATGTTATTATTTATTAAAAAAAATATCGCGATGTGTGTTAGTATAATAATAAGCCAGCATAGTAATCTATGGTGGTAACTTTCCAGAAAATTGCTGAATATTCTTGACAATAGTGGTTTGGGTTGCCTACACCTCAATTAATTAATTTATTTTTTTTCTCAAATTACATCTTTTTAAAAATATTTAACAAAAACCCATCAATAAAAAAGCACCTACTCATCCACAAGTCATAATCAATATAAATACTATTTTTATTGATAAGGCCCAAAGAGCTTCAGTCAATTAATAAGATAATTTTTCTCTTTGGTTAAAGAAATTATTAATAATGATATAGACGTCGATAATTCTTCATGAGTATATCGTCATCAGGATCATTTCCTCTAAAGAAATGGATTTCTTTTCGTTTTTGTGTCCAAATTTATGCATGCATATCATTATATAAAAATAAACTTGTAATTATTATATTTTGACTATAAAAAATAAATAAAAAAAAGAAAATACTATGGTGTTTTATTTAAAATAATTAAAATTTTTGAATCGCCCTGCACAAATTTTCACTTAGTAAAGATTCAAACCAACAAATTTAATTAATATCGCCATCTATATTTCAATTTTCGAACTAATTTGATTATTTTGTAATTTTAGTTGGTTCGAAACTCGGCTAAAGAAAAAACTATACCGGGTGATCCAAATAAAAATTGTAATTCGGATTGAAATTTTCTCGAAATTAATTTATTTTTGAATCACCCGGTATACTTTTTTCTTAGCCGAGTTTCGAACCATCGGTAATTTAATTAAANATGTTTTTAATTAATTTTTATTTATTTATTAATTTTTTCTTTTAAGATAATTTAAGTAGGATTGAATTTGAAGGGATCGAACATGCAAGTTTAAAAGAAGCCAGGATTTTGAGTTTGTTTAAGAGCGTTCCATTGAACGTCAAAAACCACCGGGTTTTAGAAGAATTCAGTAAATTATCAGAAAACAATAAGAAACTTGTTAATAATTTTTTTGAGAATGAGTTAAAATGTTAACAACAATGATTTTATTGATTAAATTGTGTTTATCTTGTAAGAATATAGTAATAGCTACCAAAAACTTATCTTTTAGGATCAACATGATTTCATTAAGTTAAGTAAAGTCGAATTTGACTTGTTTATAAAGGAAGGGAGTGTATTTATAACAATTTCAATACCCCTATTGTTATTATTTTTATTCTATGTCCCAAAAAATGTTCTTATCTTTTTTACAAACGAATTATTTAAATAATCATATTTTGACAAGTTCATTTTAGCGCCATCTAATTTTATTTCGATGAATTTTGACATTTATCTAATTCATTATTTTTATTACATATTTAAATTATTGTTAAATTTTGTTTTTTAACAAATATTAGTAACATATGTAAACAAGGGTTTTGTATTTACTGTTTTGACATTTGCGATTACAGGAAACTGTAAAATATGTTGGTAAATCATCATTAGGATTATTTCCTCTAAAGAAATGGGTTACTTTTCGTTCTTGTGTCCAAATTTATGCATGCATATCATTATACAAAAATAAACTTGTAATTATTATATTTTGACTATAAAAAATAAATAAAAAAAGAAATACAAGTTTGTTGGTGTTTTAATTTAAAATAATTAAAATTTTTGAATCGCCCTGCACAAATTTTCACTTAGTAAAGATTCAAACCAACAAATTTAATTAATATCGCCATCTATATTTCAATTTTCGAACTAATTTGATTATTTTGTAATTTTAGTTGGTTCGAAACTCGGCTAAAGAAAAAACTATACCGGGTGATCCAAATAAAAATTGTAATTCGGATTGAAATTTTCTCGAAATTAATTTATTTTTGAATCACCCGGTATACTTTTTTCTTAGCCGAGTTTCGAACCATCGGTTATTTAAATATAATCGCCATCTATCGTTCAATTACCGAACTAATCGAAATAATTTTGAAATTGAGATTGGTTCGAAACTCGACTAATGAAAAAACTATGCCGGGTGATTCAAATAAAAATTGAAATTGAAATAAAATTTTCGCAAAATTAAATGTTTTTTTGAATCACCCGGTATAGTTTTTTCTTAGCCGAGTTTCGAACCATCTGTAATTTAAATAGAGAGCGCCATCTATCGTTCAATTACCGAACTAATCGGAGTTATATTTTTACTTAGTCGAGTTTCAAACCGTCCGGAATTCAAATGAAGCCACCTTTTGTTTAATTCATGAACTAATCGGTATTAATTAACTAGGAGAATTGTGATAAAGGTGTTGGATTGAATGATATGTAAATAAGAGAAACAGTTTATATTTCAAATAAAATCTATTGTCCTTAAAAATGAGCTCCTAATTACTACCATGTCAAAGGTAGTATCATAAAGTGATTAGCATAATCAAGCCAAGAACAAGAAATAATGTATGTAAAGACTTTCTTTAAAATATTTTAATTTCCAATCCGAATAAGAACCCTAAAAATAGAAATGTTGTCTATTAATCTAGTTACATTGAAGTACACCGCCATAACTTTAATTTAATAAATACAACAATTTAATACAACTAAGTAGCACTTTAATTAATTGTGAATGTATGTTTATTTGTTACCTTGATATATCCTTTTATTCCTAATTAGATATAAACAAAACCCATTTTCTTCTGGTTAATTGTTATTGGAGTTAAAAAAAAATCTTGATGAACCTTGGTTTTAATTGACTTTTCAGCATCCTTAGGGTAATTTCCATTCAAATCTCATCAATAAGCGCCTTTTCTATTCAACAGAATCAAATAAATTTAAGAATTAATAAAGCAAAAATGACATTAAATGACATTGAACTTCATATGTCAATGCAACCAGCTTAAATGTAATTAAAAATCAAAAATCACTAAAACTAAAAAGACAACCTAAAAATTATCGATTTTATTTTTTACCAATTATTTAATTAAAAACGAGTGTTTACATCTTACCTTGATAAATCCTTTTATTTCGTATTTTCCGTATTATTCCGAAACAAGAATCCCTTTCTTCTGATTAATGGTTATCGGAGCTAAAAAGATCTTATCAAACGTTGGTTTTAATTGATTTTTCATCATCCACGGAATTTTCAGGTTAATTTCCATTAATATCTCTTCAATACACGCCTTTTCTATTCAATAAAATCAAATAAATTTAAAAATTATTAAAAAATAAATTAATATTAGCTGATTTCATAAATGACATTGACTTCATTTGGCAATGCAACCAACTTAAATTTAATTAAAAATTAAAAATCACTAAAACTAAAAAGATAACCTTAAAATTTTCGATTTTAATTTTTACCAATTAACTAATTATTTAATTAAAAATGGGTGTTTATTTCTTACCTTGATAAATCCTTGCATTTCTTATTTTCCTTATTATTCCGAAATAAAAATCCTTTTTTTCCGATTAATGGTTATTGGAGTTAAAAAAAATCTTGAGGAACCTGGGTTTTAATTAATTTTCCAGCATCCATGGTATCCTTAGGTTAATTTTCATTAAAATCTCTTCAACAAACGCCTTTTCTATTCAACTAAATAAAATAAATTTAAGAATAAGAAAATAAATTAATACCAGCTGATTTCATAAATGACATTCTTCATTTGTCAATGCAACCAACTTAAATTTAATTTAAAAATAAAAAATCACTAAAACTAAAAAGATAACCTCAAAATTTCCGATTTTAATTTTTATTAATTTATTAATTATTTAATTAAAAATGAGTGTTTATTTTTACCTTGATAAATCCTTATATTTTTTATTTTCCGCATTATTCCGAAAAAAAACCCTTTTCGTTCGATTAATTAAACTAACGTTTTAATTGATTTTTCAGCATCCATGGTATCTTTAGATTAATTTCCATTAAAATCTCTTCCATACGCTCCTTTTCTATTCAATAAAATCAAATAAATTTAAGAATTAATAAAAAATAAATTAATATCAGCTAATTTCATAAATGACATTGAACTTCATTTGTCAATGCAACCAACTTAAATTTAATTTAAAATCAAAAATCACTGAATTTAAAGTTTCGATTTAAATTTAAAAATTAGTAATAAATATTTGTAAGTATAATTAACTTACCATAACAAATTAAATGGATTAAATTATTCACCTAAGGACATCAAGGTTATTTCAAATCGTTTCGATAAACTTGTTAACCTTTAATCATATTCACCATTTCATACTTCAAATTCGACTCAAAAATTAACCCTCCATTGATTCTCATGGAACGTTTTTCCAACATACCAATTAAAATCGTTTCCTTCGATGGTTGTATTTACATCGATCATCGACATGAATCTGTTTCGATTTCAGTTTATCTAAGTTTCCAGAACAAAGGATTTTTTATATCTTCAGTTACTTCGAATTTTGCATAATATTCCGTGACGAATTTCTTGGTTTTTGCGTAAATTGATCCGGGGAATAAAAATCCTTCTTAAATAACTTGTCCAATGTAAACGGAGTTCGCTTCGGCGGGGTCAGCATCTTTTGGGATTTCTCCTTTGTAATCACAACAATAAATATCCCAATCTTCGCTTTTTACCGATTTAATTAGGATTATTATTAAGATTGTTGGGATTAAATCCAATTTTAGGTTAAAAACTAATTTGACATAAAGCGATGTGGCGCCATCTCTTTTCCATGAGGCTAAGGTTAGTGATAAATTTTAAAAATATTTATTTATTTACTTAAATTTATAATAAAAAATAGAAATTTTTATTTCTGTGTAATACACATACACAGCTTTAAGTTTGTTATTAATTAATTATGTGGGTGATTCTCATATCGCGGGTTATAAACTGCTGAATCCTTTGATTATACAGGGTGAGTTTTTTTCTATGTTTAGTATGGAGATCAAAAGAAACAAAAGTTATTTTTATACATTACTAATTTATACATCCTTTTTAAATTAAATCAATAAAAACGAACACATTAAATAATGTATAAAGGTATTCAAAAAACGAAACGTGATAATAATTTATTATTTATTTTCATTAAAAAACGGGCTTATAAGCAATAATAATATTAAACACTAATGCAAATTGTCCTAACCGATTTTTTTCTGGTTTTAGATAAATACATAAATATTTTATTAACGTATTATACGAAAAGATGTATAAATTCCCCTTAAAACTAATAACATTGTTCATCATCATTTTTTTTTATTATTTCATTCAGTATTATTTATCATTATGCGCTTGAAATCCTTGAGAATGGCGTCGTCATCTCGGCGAATCTTAAACAACTAACGATAAATTATTAAATGTATATAATACCTAACTATGTAATAACAAGATAATACTTTGTTTCTTCCAAATATCCTTTATTAATTTATTAGTTTTGTGACGACGTCATTTTCAGGTTAAATGCGCAGGCAAATTTGGGTTTCGAAAATTATTTAAAAATTATTTACAGATGGTTGTTTTTTTGTATATAGCAGTTTTCGTCATCCTTCTTTCAATTGTTAAGTAATAAGTAATAATAATAAGAGTAGTTATTATTCATTAATCGATTTTTTTACGGTTTACTTTATATCATTAGTATATAAATATGTACAAGTGGTAATGGATTTTTTATTTATTATTTTTTTCTTATTTTTTTACTTCAATTAGTATATAAAATTTGGACATTTTTCAACATGAACAAGAACCGTGTTTGTCTCTTATTACTTTGTTTTAATTTTTAATTCTTTTCTTTTTTACGTTATTATTTTTAATTATTTCACAAGTTTTTTTTTGTAAAACCTGTGTTGCTTTCGACTCGCTTTGTTTTGAGGATTCTATCTAAGGAACACAATCGCGCAAAATATTTTTCTTTTTTTCATCAATTGAACATCATTTTTTCATCATTTAACCCTTTCAATACTTTTTACTAAAGCTAAAACGCGTTTACAATATGTTTAGATAATTTTTTTTAACAAATATACCCGCATGTTTTTTTTTTTTTTGTTCAATTGGCATTATATTAATTAATAATAATTAAATTAAACTAATGAATTAAAGGTATTAGTTATTTTAATTTTATTTAATTTTTTTTTTGGATGGTGAAGCCGAGTTTTCTTCGACCTTGTTTAAACTTTAATCCGCTGCTGTCTTTAAGACAATACGAAACGCTGGCAGAAGTCAGCAAGAATAACTTTTACAATAATAGTTACCGTTTTATTTTTATTATTATTATTATTAAGTATTTTTTTTTCTTTATTTTTTTAGGGGCGTCCTCTCGCAAAGTTATTTTTTCGAGACGCGATCTTCTCGTGTAAAGTTACGTAAGGCATCTTTTTCTCTTGGTAACGATAATAATAATAGTCTAAGGTGTGAAGTCCAATCGAATTTTTTAATTATTTTCTTTTAATAATTTTTGTGCCGGGTCTCGTAAGGAGCTTCGATATCCGCGGTTGCAAAAACCACTTATCACAGAACAAACGGCGAAAAAATCTGGATAAATTTCGATTTAATATTATCTTATTCTTTTTATTTTATGTTTTCTGAAGTTTCTAGAATCAAATGAGAACACATTTTCTTTAATAATTTTGGGTACAATCAAAGTTATTTACGTTTTGTTTTAGTTTAAAGCACTTTAGGGAAGAATTTACGAACGAAAAATTTAATAAAACATTTCTTTATCATTCTAGATATAATCTAGATAAAATTACACTTTAATATTTTCTTAATATACATCAGTGCCTATTTATTCATGATTCTGTAACTCACTCAAAGTGTATCTAAATAAAATCAACAAACGAAATGAATTTGTTAAGTTTGTATTTCGATGATTAACATTATTAAATCATTGAGATACAAATTATTGCAACTAAAACAATAAAAGGAAGTGACGAAGTGACCTAATTAACATGATCCATAACAGATTTCAACCCAACTCGTTTAGATTTTTAGTTATTAACCCAAGAAGTTCAACTTAATAAATTTAACGATTTGGGATTATATAATTTGTTCTAACAAAGAAAATAAAACGAATTGAAGCAAACTTTATGTATAAACATTGTTACTAATGAACCTAATTAACATGATCCATAAAAGATTTCAAACAATCTCGTTTCGATTTTTAGTTATTAACCCAAGAAGTTCAACTTAATAAATTTAACGATTTGGGATTATATAATTTGTTCTAACAAAAAAAATTAAAGGAATTGGAGGAAATTTTATGCATAAACATTGTTACTAATGAACCTAATTAACATGATCCATAAAAGATTTCAAACAATCTCGTTTCAATTTTTAGATATTAATCCAAGAAGTTCAACTTAATAAATTTAACGATTTGGGATTACACAATTTGATCTAACAAAAAAAATAAAAGGAATTGGAGGAAACTTTATGCATAAACATTGTTACTAATGAACCTAATTAACATGATCCATAAAAGATTTCAACCCAACTTGCTCCAATTTTTTGTTATTAATCGGAGAAATCCAAATTAATAAATGTAACGATTTGGAATAATACAATTTATTCCAACTAAAAAAATAAAACGAAGTGAAGCAAACTTTATGGATAAACATTGTTAGTAATGAACCTAATTAACATGATCCATAAAAGATTTCAACCCAACTTGTTGCAATTTTGAGTTATTATCCCAAGAAATCTAACTTAGTAAATTTAACCTTTTGGGATAACACAATTTATTTTAACCAAAAAAATAAAGGAATAAATAACATAATAAACCTAAATAACATGATCCATAAAAGATTTCAACCCAATTTTTAGATATTTAACGATTTTGGAATAACACAATTTATTGCGAATGAATCAAAAAAAGTAGTTTGTTGTTATCATTTAAATACAGTTGTATAATTTAATTAAAGGTTGAAAATGATTTAAATCGGCACTGATATTAACGCATTTTACTACACATTGTCAAAAGAATACATCCGTTTGGAATAAAACCATCTCCGGAAAATTAGTTCCAAGGGAAAAATGTAGCTAAAGTGGTGGAGGAACTATTATTATTATTTTTTTAGGGGTTTTTCTATTCCAAGCGGAACCAGCGAAAACAAATAATCATAAAAACGCCTTTTTACGATTTTCAACAATAAACGAAATTATTTACTTAACAAAATCGTTCGGAAAAAACTTTCTTCAACAAATCGTAGCTTCCTCAGCGACAAATTCACAAATAGTTATTAAATATGTATATATCCATCGGTAATGGCAGTATGATACAAAAGAATTTAATTTAAGAGGTCTGTGAAAAGTACAAAGGGATTTTTAAACTGCAATCATCGCACGTACAAGCACTTTTTAGTTTTTTTTTGTTAAACCGAGTTAAACGAAGTGTCACTTGCACACCGATTAATTATTTATCTTTGTTTGAGGTCTGACACAATCACTTATTTCATTTTTTTTACCTTCTTTCGCATTATTTTTTTATGAGTCAATTCCTTAAAGGCCTATTTATAATTTTTTTTTTGGAGAGTATCTCTTTAATTCTTTAAAAGAGATTTTGCAAAAAAAATAGAAAACAAAGCTTATCTTATTCTTTTGGTCAGTCCTCTTCGATCGAATCCAAATCCTGCAAATGTTAGCACCAATCGTCATCATCCGAATCGGAATGTCTCGATCGAGTTGGTTTTGGTTTGTACCCATTGGGAACTGGGCTAGGAAGCATTCTTCCACCGCGTCCCAACGCAACCGCTTGTTCAAAACTGAGTGGTGCAGCAGGATTAGGATTTGAATTGATTTCCCTCGGCGGTACTATTTCTCTTAACGGTTCCCGTTCGCGGAAACTATGAGGCATTGTATGTGGAGTCGTGTGTGCTGAATGGGACTGGAGCTAAATTAATTCATATGATTTAAAATTTTTTGTTTTAAATAAAGACTTACTCCAACGTGCGTTGGCGAAGCGTTCAACTTGGGGAAGTTAATTGGTCCCGGCCTGAGTTGCAACGTTGAAGGTTTACAAGGAGTAGGTGGTAATCGCCTTCCTTGTCCACGTCTCGAGCCCAACACTGGATGGCTATGCTGGACGCTGCTTTGATGGGCAGCCGAATGATGAACTGGAACCCCCACCACCGCCCCAGCTGCAAATCAAATCACAAAATATCCCACTGATTGATAACTTGATATATTCAAACATGCCACCGCATATCATCCAAAGAGAAATTCTATTTTGTGTTTTCCGGTTTTGTTTTGCTTGTTTGTGAATTGCAATTTGGACAAACAGGATAAATAACTTATTATTACCCTCTTCGTCCATAAATATCTTTCCTTTTTTGTTTTAAAAATGCGAACGAGCGTGTATCTAAGCTACCTATCATAGGTGGGCCATGCTGATGAGGCACAGGGTGACTTGGGCTTGGAGATCGAGATCTCTGGCATAAACTAGTCGTACCGTGCCCGGAGCTTTTTCTATGTGGAGGCCCGCGGCCGCCTCCACTTCCTCCTCCTCCACCCGAACCGCTTCCATACCGCCATCCGTATTGTTGCCCCCTCGAATCGATAACCGGCGATGGCGACCTCGCAGGGCTCGTCGATGCCGACCACGAACCTGCAACGTCCATGTGCCAAGCTGGAGGTTAGAATAACGCGACAGTGGCGTGGAAACACAACGGGGAAGACATTCAAATTTTTTTTTAAAACTACCTCTCGCGTGGCGTTTATGAGACTGCGATCGGTGGTGTTCGTGTTTCACTATTTCCACCACGTTCGAAACTGTATCCGAAAACCCTATGTCGTGGTGAAGATGAGTTGGGTAGCGCTTTCGCGGAGATGGGCTGCGTTGAAGAGATGGCGAATTACCCCTCCTACACATTAAAAAACATTTTTTATTCCAATTCAAAACATTCTTTTTTACTCACCTTAAACTGGGAGATCTCCGATGCTGGGTGTTGCTAAATCCAGGATGAAGATGCGATTGTTGTCCCTCAGCTATACTTTCGCAAGAAGCCCGTCGCGACCCAATATCTTGCAGCTCAACCTAACGATAATCACTAAATAATAACTTCATACAAAACTTAAAAATCGTTTTAATTTGTAGTTGAATGGGTTTTTTTGTAACATTAAATATAATCATTTTTTTGGTGTTATGAAGTGAATGATTGTTTTAATTTAAGTATTTACATCGATTGAAATTAAAAAATAAAAGATAGTAGTCCCATTCATACTACTTTCGTGTTCAGTTGTAAAATATAGCAAAAAGCATGCACAAAACTGTTCATGCCAATGTGCTTTTTTCGTTAATAATCGCATAGCATAAAAAACGGTGGCTTTGGCATAAATACTAGCTACGTGATGCCTTATTTTTTTATTTACGCTTTTATTTAAGAATTAAAGAATATAAATTGGCTCTATAGCTACAGCTAAAGAATTTTATCGTAATAATTTTTATTTTAAATTGTTTAAGGGAAAATCAATTTTAATAAGTATATATTTTTTTAAATTGTGATTAATAAATACATAGGGTGAGTTAGAAAGAATTCGAAATCTATTAATCGCAGATAATAAACAACAAAACATGATTATTATTTCACTTTAGTAATTTGTGTTGGGTACAGTTTGAGTTAATGAGTGTGGTTTCGGTTCCAATTTGCTGGATTGAGTGTAAATAAGTAAGGTTCAGTTTGAGTATGGTTCCAAAATGTTTAATCAAAAAGTTAAATTAAACCGATTTAGTTTCGGCGTAGATTTGCTGGCTTAAGTGTAGATGAATTAAACTTGGATTTCTCTCCTTTAGGTTTTTTTTCACTTAAACGCTAATATATATGTTGGCGATTGTATTAATCCAGACTGAAAGAAGAGTAAAGAAAAAAGATGAGCTTAGTAGAACACCAAACAATTAATTAATCAACCCAAAATTTGAAAAAAAACTACGAAAATCAATTTCTTAAAGAAATAAGAAATAGCAGAAAAAATATTCCTTTCATATTTGTTATTAAAAATGATGAGAAATATGATGTAGTTGAAATTAAATTGATTAAAAATTCTGATCAACTTGAATTTTTCAAAAATACCAGAAAAAAATGCTGAGAGAAAATTTTCTTTTCGTATTTGCGGGTAAAGACGACGAGAATACGAGAAAGTTAAAATAAAATTGATAAGAAATTCTGATCAACCCAAAATTTGCAAAAATTGATGGAAAATTGACTTTTTAAAGAAACAGAAAGTCTTACATTGACTTGATATTGAGTGTCTAAAATATCTTGGTCTATATAAGACTGCAAAATGCATTGCGTAATCACTTGAGAAATATCAAGAAGACAGATCTTGGTTTCCTAAGCCTCGATCAATGAACAACATGGTCTCCCCAACCACAATATAGATAGAACTAAAAGAAATTCAGGAACTACGTTGTTTACCAAACAATTCTATTTGATAAAATAGAAGAAACGTCACACGAAAAGCTATAAAGTCAAGCATAATTTTTCAATCTGTAAATGTTAATCCAGCAATAGTAAAATGAAAATTGATTGGCAGAACTTGACTGGCAATAACAAATCCAAGGATTGTTCTCTATACTCTTGCTGAAGACCCTTGCTCTATCGTGCTATATCACTCCCCCCAGATACTAGAGAATTATACGAGATTCTAAAAGAACGAAAGCAAGATGTCGAATCTCCAAGTGGTACTTAAGTACTCCAATTACTACCTTTAGTGTATCTAGAAAGCAGTCTATGTGGTTTGAATACCCCACTCAATCTGTCAAGTTAGAATTTAGTTTTTCCTAGTCATTCTACAATCAGTTAAAACATCTATAAAAAACGACACAATTCGCACTGTAGGGTTTTTAGGTGTATTTAAACTTATTCATCCAGATGTGAGGTTAGAAGTTTAGTGAAAAGTGGTGTTATTAGGTGTTATATGGTTATTAGGTGTGATTATTACAGATCATTTTAAAAGGAAAGCTTTGAGCTTTAATTTAAAATAAGTCCCATTCCTTAATTTCAATAAATACGGCTCCCAGGAATTTTTAAATTAGCATCTTTTTTGACACTTTTAGGTTATACGAAAATGTAAGTTTTGTTTCAACATTTTTTTTCTCAATATTTTTCCAATCCAACCCAACAATTATTATACATCATTTTAAAGAGAAAGCTTTGAGCTTTAATTTAAAATAAGTTTCATTCCTTAATTTCAATAAATACGGCTTCCAGGAATTTTTAAATTAGCATCTTTTTTGACACTTTTAGGTTATACGAAAATGTAAGTTTTGTTTCAACATTTTTTTTCTCAATATTTTTCCAATCCAACCCAACAATTATTATACATCATTTTAAAGAGAAAGCTTTGAGCTTTAATTTAGAATAAGTCTCATTCCTTAATTTCAATAAATACGGCTTCCAGGAATTTTTAAATTAGCATCTTTTTTGACACTTTTAGGTTATACGAAAATGTAAGTTTTGTTTCAACATTTTTTTTCTCAATATTTTTCCAATCCAACCCAACAATTATTATACATCATTTTAAAGAGAAAGCTTTGAGCTTTAATTTAGAATAAGTCTCATTCCTTAATTTCAATAAATACGGCTTCCAGGAATTTTTAAATTAGCATCTTTTTTGACACTTTTAGGTTATACGAAAATGTAAGTTTTGTTTCAACATTTTTTTTCTCAATATTTTTCCAATCCAACCCAACAATTATTATACATCATTTTAAAGAGAAAGCTTTGAGCTTTAATTTAGAATAAGTCTCATTCCTTAATTTCAATAAATACGGCTTCCAGGAATTTTTAAATTAGCATCTTTTTTGACACTTTTAGGTTATACGAAAATGTAAGTTTTGTTTCAACATTTTTTTTCTCAATATTTTTCCAATCCAACCCAACAATTATTATACATCATTTTAAAAAGAAAGCTTTGAGCTTTAATTTAAAATAAGTCTCATTCCTTAATTTCAATAAATACGGCTTCCAGGAATTTTTAAATTACCATCTTTTTTGATACTTTTAGGTTATACGAAAATGCTAGTTTTAACTCAATACTCTTTTTCTCAATATTTTTCTAATTCAACCCAACGATTATTATACACCATTTAAAGAGAAAGCTTTAAGCTTTATTCTATCACAAAGTTTCAAAATTTTGTAACTCTAACTTATAGATTTCTAATTATTTTTTACTCACCCTGTATAGTTTAATATTAATTAAGCTTATTTAAAAAAATCATTCCTAAAAAAGCATGCAGAAACCAAAACCTCTACTTTTAAACCCCAAAACCCCTAAGAAATATTAGTAAATGAAAATAATTAGTTAAAATTAGCATAAATGTATTATAAGAAAAATCTATTTAAGAAAATGTTATATAGATAAATAAAAAAGTACCGTGAATTAAAATGGCCGTTCTATTTTTTAAGTCGGGTTAAAAACCTACGTCCTAAAGTAGTACCTTCTATCGGCCCTTCTCTATTCTTAAATATTTTTATTACATTAACTATTTGTAACTATTCCATCGGTCCGAAACTTCGAACAACAGCTTCTTTCTCGTGATCGTTCGATATAAAAAAGAAAGAATGTTTAAACTGAGAGAGCCGCTAAGCCTAATTTCGCACACAATCAAAATTCATTTCTGCCCTAAACAATAACGATAGGATATATTTACAAAAAAATAAAACCATCAAAAACCTTTTTGGTGTTCACCTTTTTGTTCCTGCAACAACAAAAAAATTATATATATATATATACATTTTTTTTAAAAGAAAAATTTTGAATACCTCATCGATCTATTCCTTTTAGTGTTTCTTCTTGCAAGGGCAATAAGTGATTTTTCTTCTGGATGAAGACTGTGGACATCAGAATGTTCTTGGCCGGCCATAAGTGGGGCACCTTCTAAACTTATGGAACCGGCGCGACTTCCTCCCAAATGTTCGGCCATATCCAGGAGACAGTCAAAAAACGACGCTTTCTATCATCCAATACAACTTTAGGATTCACGAGACCGAAGAAGACTACGTCTATTTTTAACTTTTTTTTGCTTTTTTAAATAAAGAAGTTTGAAGGGGCACTTCTATTGATCATTTTAAGCAAAAAAAATAATCGATTTTAAACTCTTTTTGACTTTCAAAAACGGGAAATTCGATTTCCTCATAATAAATACAACACTGTTCTATTCAAGTTTTTAAAGAAATCTTTTTTTTGTTTTGGTGCCCAACAAGAAGAAAATGTAAATAATATGTTACATAAAAGAGACAAAGAGAGAAATGCATTTTGCATGCAGTGGTAAGTCAGAAAGAGACGAAAAACGATGTACTTACAAGAAATTTACATTAAAAATTTTTTCTTAAATTAAATTCTTGTAAAGAATTTAATGAAAGAAAAAATTAAAGAGACATAAACAGGAACGTGGCTATAAGAAATTTGTATTATTAAAAAATGCCATGCACAAATTTCTACTGTACATTATTTAAAAAGTACTCTATCAACAATTTACTCGAGACAGACACAGGGTTAAGGATTTTCGAAAAAAATAACACAAGTAATTGTACTCTAAAAAGAAACTGGCTAAAAAAGTGTCTACTGTCAACTGACAGAACTGTACTATGAATGAGAACTATAAAAAATATTATTAAAAAAAATAAATAAAATAATCTATCATCCCGTCTATTTTGTTCTATGATAGAAATAAAAATTGTTTCAATTAAATTTGTTACTATCGAAAAAGTTAATAAGAAAAACTATGCAAAAATCAACAAGTTTCAAAAAAATAAATTAATCAAAAAAAATAATTAGAACAAAAATAAAAGTAATTAGTACGAGTTTAAAAGTGGGATAGAATTAATATACTACCACGTGATTGGCAGAAGGACTATTTCCAAATCCCTGAAATAAATATATAAAATGGTTAAGGGCACTAACGTCCTAAAAATACTGATTTAATTTAATTCTTTTTGAATAAAGTTGGTGAAACTGTATAAATACGTCAAAAGTGCGTGCGGAACCTTGCATGGACTATTAATTATAAACACATCTCATCTCAAGATAAAGATGATATACATAATAAGTCGGTTTGTTTCTTTTTTGGAGATACAAATTTTTTTTTAAAAGGAAAACATCGAGTTAACACCATTTAATGAGGCAGCAAATAGGTATACATGTCTCAATCTGGTTCTACACACGTAATAATAATAATAATAATAATGAGGAAATTGAGGTTTCTATTTTGGAAGAAAACATTAAGATTTAATAATAAAATATGTTTTTTTTTAAGTTGGGTTGGGTTAATTAATTTTATCTTTTGCAAAACCAATATTACATGATTTTCAGTTTCAATAATTGAAGGGTTTATTTCAAAAACGACACATGTCCATAAATGTTTTGTGTCCATGTGTCGTTTTTGAAAGAAACCCTTCAATTGTATTTGAGATTCTAGAAATTGAGTAGGTGAATTTGTAGTAGCTGAAGCTTTAAAGATCAAGACAATCGCACAGAAAAAGACATCTCCACGAGGCTTCAAGAAGCAGAGAAGCTTTGAAACCTGAGCAACCCTGGTAGAAATGGGGTAGCTAACCCGTGTGGAGCGTGATTACGAAATATGGAATACACAATAGAAATATGGAACATGAGAATAAGATACAACCTAATGGAGATACATACTCCTACATGGGAACATCCACAAGATGATGTGTATCTCACCAGATAGATCTTATCTTACTAAATAAAAAAACTTAGATGTACAGGATGGTTCAAATTCGGTGTCCGAATAGGCTATCTCGAAAACTATTAGAGTTAGAAAAAAAGTAGCTTACATGTCATGATCTCGTTTTTCGAGAAACTGCTAATGTCAAAAACCTCAAAGCACTACAGTTTCCTGTAAATTACGGTACTATAATTAAAAATTTGTATAAAATTTGTTTTACTTTCTAATATGTAACATTCTAACATGTTAAACTTTTCGTGATTCATCTTAAAAAACAGGATTTTTAATTTGACGATTAAATTTGATGATTTATGAGCGCCATCTATAAATAATTTATTAAGTCATTTAATAATAATACTAAATATTTAAAAAATGTAAAATAATGCAATCTATTTCAACTTTTGTGTTAACCCTTTTTAGGGCAGAGGTGATATTTTTACCAGCATAGTTTTTTTAAGTTTTTTATAAGAAAATAATCAAATTTAATTTTCTTTTGTAAGTTGGCAACTTATTTAGTGATCTGTCAATAATATGACGTGAAGAAATGCATAACTGTCATAACATTGTTTTTTTGCTGTCACCTGTTGAATGTTCAAAAATAGTGTTTTTTCGTACCAAATTTTGTATAACGGTCTATTTTGTAGATCTTCGAGATTTTGAGGTAAGTTTTATTATTTACATGTTATATTGGATTTGTCCTAAGTATTTTGACACATATTTTTATCTTTGGGTATCCTGGTTTTTCAAATAAATTGCTTTTTGTGGTGGGAAGCATATTCCCTCTGCCTGCGAGTGGCTGCTATATTTTTTGCTTTGCTTTGGCAGATGAGTGCAAAAAGTGGCTTAGACAAAGGTTTATCAGAATTCGAAATAGAGCATGCGCTTGAAGAGCTTTTTGGGTTGCCTGATGACCCAGAAGTGTCTGACGATAACCTGGAAGCCGAAGAGGAAGAAGCTCCGTACAGCACCGCTCGGCTTCAAAAAATACTGGAAAATCCCGATGATCCGTCAATGTCTCCGCACCTCCTGCATAATCAGACCAGCCTACAATCATCAGAAATTATGGATACTGAAGCCATTCCACCAGCTGATTTACAAAGTGAAGACCTGTCCGTGTATGTAAGTCAACAAATTGAAAATAGTAGCTCAATTACTGTAAGGCCGGCTAGGCGGTTGACGCGATCTCGATATTCAACTTCCGAACTCAGTACCTCACCTGACGACACTGATGATTCTGATCTCGAAGAAGAGACATGGAAAAAAACATATTGGACTTCTCGGCCCGTTGCTGAAGATTTTGACAAGATTCCTTTGACTACTAAGCAAAGCTTCAATCCTAAAACTAGGCCCATCCGCTTTTTTGAAAAGTTTTTTACAAATGAAGCTATAGAACTTATTGTGTCGCAAACAAACTTATATGCCGACCAAATGAAAATAAAAGAGTGGACGCCCGTGACTACTGATGAAATAAAAGCCTTTTTAGGCATTCTCATAATAATGGGCTATAAAGTTCTGCCCATGATAGACCTGTATTGGTCGTCTGATCCAGGTTTTCGAGAAAATGACATAGCAGAAATAATGCCAGTAAAAAGGTTCAAGAAAATTATGCGCAGCCTACACTTGAATGATAACGCGCGACAACCTGAAAGAAATAGTCCCGAATACGATAGGTTGTTCAAACTGAGGCCATTGATAAATATTATTAACGAATCCTGTAAAAATAATGTCAATTTATCTAGTTCACAGAGTATTGATGAGTCAATGGTACTCTTCAAAGGACGGTCTTCGCTAAAGCAATACCTACCTCTCAAGCCCATCAAACGGGGATACAAAATTTGGTGTAGATGCGACAGTGAGACAGGATATTTGTATGAATTTAGTATTTATACTGGGAAAACGGATGGAGTGGAAAAAGGGCTGGGAGCAAAAGTCGTGAAGAACTTGACGCAACATTTAATTGATAACAATATAAAGAATGTTCACGTTACATTTGACAACTTCTTCACAGATAACAAACTTTTAGAATATTTGTATGAACATAACATATATGCAACTGGCACCGTGCGTAGGCACAGAGAAGGATTACCTCAACTTACAAAAGGTCCAAACGCTAGAAAACTAAAGCTATCTAAGGGTGAATTTAAATGGCGTGTGAAGGACAATGTTGCTTTTATAATTTGGCAGGATAATAAGGAGGTACTACTTTTGAGCAGTGCGTTCCATCCAAAAGTCGGAGTTTGTACTACTTTGAGGACTCAGAAAGACGGCAGTAAAGTGCCAATTCGCTGCCCTTTAGCCATTAAGCAGTATACTAAGCGAATGGGAGGCGTGGATAAATTCGACCAGATCAAAACCACATACACAGTTGGAAGAAGAAGCAAACGATGGTGGCTTCGCCTTTTTTACTTTCTCCTTGATGCTAGCATCATTAACGCTTTTATTATGAGCAAGATAAGTAAAGTAAATCTGACGCATTTGGAGTTTCGCGTAGCCCTAGCTCGAGGGCTTATTGGTGTATACTCCAGTCGAAAAAGACGATCCCACCTACGTGATCAGAAAAAAGTTGATACAGGCCGACACTCGCCAGAAAGCCATTCATGTGGTTGCTGATGAAGTACGATTCTCGAATGTTGGAGATCATTTACCTTGTCCGTCGGAGACATATAAACGATGCAGACTTTGCAGTACGAAAACAAACGATAAACGCACTAAAATAATGTGCGAAAGATGTGCAGTACCTCTCTGCGTTGTCCCTTGCTTTACTGCATTTCACAGGCAGTAGGTAATTATTATTAATCAATATAATAATCAAGGATAAGCTATGTGTGTAATATATATATATATATATATGCGAATAAATATGTTTTTTTTGTAAGTACTTTAGTTATTACTATGGAGGTAGTTGCACAGGCAAAGGGAATATAATTCCCACCATAGAAATAATAATAATAATAATAAAATATATGTATATTTTGGTTTCTTATCTCATAATGTAACTAAATCCAGGATTAGTTTTAAATTATCGCCTTTAAATCATTATACCCTATAAAGGGTTAAACAAATACAAATTAAATAGTTCAACAAATGTATTTGTTTCAAATATCAGAAATATGTTTTTTCATTTTTAGTTATAATTTACAGGAAACTGTAAAATTTAGTAATCAATTTCTTTAGACACTAAAAAAAAAAGTTTGTCCACGACTACCTTATAATATATACCTTATGAATGAGTTTTCTAAAACAAAAGGGCATTCACGGGTAACCAACTTGACCATAGAAAATAGCTTCGTAGAAATGATATTCAAATGCAGCACATTTGAATATCACTGCATCATATGACATGTGAGATTGAATCTGACGAGCTTCCAACAACTTATAACGTTAGCTGAAACAAAGCTATAATGTCAATTATAATCTAATTATTTAATCCTACCATTATTACTTTATTATATTCTTACCGAAAAAACACTTTAAAATGACGTTTTCATCCGAACAAANTGAAAGATTTTTAAAAATTCCCGCGCATGTTCACTAGCGCCATTGGTATCGCGGGTCACAACTAAAAACAGCGTTAAATCTAAAGGTGGAGAACACGCCATCTATATAAGTATATATATTTATTTAATCTATGTGTGTGTCTCACCAGATAGATCTTATCTTAATAAATAAAAAAACTTAGATGTACAGGATGGTTCAAATTCGATGTCCGAATAGGCTATCTCGAAAACTATTAGAGTTAGAAAAAAAGTAGCTTACATGTCATGATCTCGTTTTTCGACAAACTGCTAATGTCAAAAACCTCAAAGCACTACAGTTTCCTGTAAATTACGGTACTATAACTAAAAATTTGTATAAAATTTATTTTACTTTCTAATATGTAACATTCTAACATGTTAAACTTTTTGTGATTCATCTTAAAAAACAGGATTTTTAATTTGACGATTAAATTTGATGATTTATGAGCGCCATCTATCAATAATTTATTAAGTCATTTAATAATAATATTAAATATTTAAAAAATGTAAAATAATGCAATCTATTTCAACTTTTGTGTTAACCCTTTTTAGGGCAGGTGATATTTTTACCAGCATAGTTTTTTTAAGTTTTTTATAAGAAAATAATCAAATTTAATTTTCTTTTGTAAGTTGGCAACTTATTTAGTGATCTGTCAATAATATGACGTGAAGAAATGCATAACTGTCATAACATTGTTTTTTTGCTGTCACCTGTNGCACATTTGAATATCACTGCATCATATGACATGTGAGATTGAATCTGACGAGCTTCCAACAACTTATAACGTTAGCTGAAACAAAGCTATAATGTCAATTATAATCTAATTATTTAATCATACCATTATTACTTTATTATATTCTTACCGAAAAAACACTTTAAAATGACGTTTTCATCCGAACAAACTTCAACTTTATAATTTTAAAAGATGAAGTTAGCGGCAAATTTAAAAACAACACGAATTGGAATCTATACTTTTTAAATTAAAAGAATGATACTGGTAATAATTGTTATTGCAATCTCTCATCATTCCCACTATTAATAATAAAATTGTTAGTTTAATTAAATTATTTCAGTATAGACGCTAATGCCATCTTACGGTGGGATTTCGATATACAATCAGTCAATTTAATTCAATTTTTTAGGAGTTTCTAAATGTTTCACATCAAAAAAACTTAAACAAATTCCTTTTTTCGTATGATTTAAGCATAAATTAATTAATTTTCGTAAAGAAACGAATTTTCGTTTTATAAAATTGACATTTAATTTTGACAAATTGTTGTGAAGTTGGTTACAGTTAGTAACATTGAATTTGTGTCACATTGACGTTTAAACTTTATTCAAAAATTTATTTAATAAATAAATTTATGGAATCAATTTCAATAGTCGTGGACAAAGTATAGTATTATTATTATTCACTCAGGTTAATTATGCCTGATTAATTAACTTAACCTTCGTGAATAATAACCCTCATTATATGCTCATATAATAATATACTATTATTTTTAGCTTTATTCTAAAACAATAAGAAATGGAAATAGAAGCACAATAGAAATAAGAAATAGGTACCTGTCAATCAGTCGTTGTTTCCATTTAAAAAAAAACGAAAATTGTCATATCTCAAAATATAAAACCGAAAAATTTTTTTGACTACGTCATGAAATTCTCTGTAAAAAAGTGTCCATATAATGTCTTAGTTATTGAACCACCTTGTACAATAGAGGAGCTGCGGCTTAGACCACCTGTTAGTCCAAGTCAAATGCAGATGAAGAATCGCAAAATACAATATTAAGCATCAAAATTTAGCATCTTCCGTCGTTCCGACCTATTACAAGACATCCTTGTCTAATTGACAATGCCAAGGGTGTTGGTGTTTCAGTTTGGACGTGTCCCATTTTTATGAAGGCTCTCTGTATACTGAGTATCAATTTTCTCCATTTTCCAGCACTACATCAGAACCGCTTGTATTAAAGTTCTAAAAACCTTTGAACTGGTATCATTGCAGCTGCAAATCTAGGATTGTAATATTCCTAAAAGAGTATGTAAGGATTGCATAGAAAAAAACTGAAGTAGAGAACTACTAGACCCACTTTTGACACTAAATTGGATTGGGTGGGCACAAATTCCAGAATTATTAAAAGAAAATCTAAGATCAATTCAAACTGTTGAATAAGAAAGAATTTTAGAACATGTGGAAGAGAAGTTGATTTTTGAAAACTTGATATTTTGAACCCAACCCGAACTAAAAATTTATAACTTAACAATCCAAAATAGAAATCTTTTCTTTAAGCCATCACTACAATAATTTTATTTTCTAAAAAAAATTTCTTAAAAATCACTAATAAACATAGTGATGACTTTAGATACCAAGAATGTCAGTGAAAAATATTAATTTTTTTCTTATAAATTGATTTTTGAAAATGGTATAAATTCCACCAACACCCCACAGATATCCAAAATAGAAAATAATCAAAAAGATGGGGAAAAAATCAATTAAAAAAGTAAACTTAAATAAACAGTGGCACAGCTAAAAACACTGATCCACTACAACGATGACACCGACTATGCAAGGAGGGCTTCTAAATCTAGTTTCTTTTTCTTTAAACACTTGTTGTTTGTCGGAATTGTGTTTAAATTAATGTTGTAGTACGTTTTAAATGTGATAGTAAAGAAAAATAAATTTGTTTCTTGATGTACTTTCAATGAATTAAAAAAGAGAGCGTACCGGCACTGAAGACTCCATTTGTCCAAATCTAGTACTTCTCCAACTTTCCAAGATTAACAACCCAGCGTAAATTTTTCCAACAGTCATTTTCGTCATGTTTAATTGTTCCGTTGGGGGTACCAAAAGATCCACCATGTGTTTTGCTTGAAGAGGCCAAATATTCTTTATTGTTTCTCTTAGTTCATCATCAGCTTGGTCCATTTCATTCGCTAAAAAAATTTATAAAAATAAAATTATTAAAACAAATTAAATTGATTAACCTGGTCTCATTTTAATATTTAAATTTTCGCGAATTAAAGCAAATAAAGTTGTGGTAAAGTTAACTTTTCCTTCTTCATCAACAGGCATATTCATCCGAATTAATTTTTTATAAGCCAATCGATTTGGGCATTTATTTCCAAATCCTAAAGGTGGATCCATATTTTTTAGCATATCATACATTTCTTGGTAAAGAATTTTTCCTCTAAAAAAACATCAATAAATAAATATTAATGTTATTTATACTCAGTGGCATAAAAACGCAACACCTAAAATGATGACCTACAAATATATTGGCAAAGGCAAGCTTGAAACTGGTTATAATTTTAGGTGAAGCATTTTTTATGCCACTGAGTGTAGAATTAAATTTATTAATACGTTGCGTTTGGATCGTATTCTGCCCAAATTCGAACGAATTCATCTAAATGATGAGCACCGAGAATTGAGGAATCCCTCGTTAAATAATCAAAATTATCCATGATGACGGCAACAAAAAGATTTAACATTAAAAACGAACAGAAAAAAATGAACGAAACGAAATAGGCGTAAGCTAAATTTGAACCGCAACTATTTTCGGTTTTTTTATTAGCTAATTCATCGCATGGTTGTCCCTCGATGCATGATAACATAATATTTGGCCAAGCTTCGCCAGTTGCACATCTAAATGAAATTGAATTAATAAATTAATTTGTGTTGTAAAAATTAAAAATTTAATTTACCGAAAAAGCAACATAAGACCTTGAATAAAGTTTCTAAAATTGTTATGGCGATTAATTGATTCCGATGGATTTTCTTGGATGTTACCAAAAACCTTAAATTACATCATTTTAAAGAAAAATTTGTTTAATTTGATTTGGGTTATAACTTACTTGCATACCAATGATGGCATAAATAAAAAATAGCATAGCTATTAATAAACAGACATACGGTAAAGCTTTGAAGCTCTGAACGAACGTCCAAAGTAAAATTCTGATGGTGTAACCCTGTCTGAGGAGTTTAATCAGTCTGGCGGCGCGGAACAGTCTCAAAAATCCTACGTTGATGAAGTTTTCCTGAAAACACGGAAACTCAACATTTAAAAAGTCCCGAAATTTTATTCCAATTTCAACTAGGTTTCTTTCTTTCAAAAATAGTCTAGATGCTGTTTGCTAAATATAAAAAGATTAATTAATCAATAAAAATTAATAATAAATAGTCAAATTCATATCCTGGATTAAAAAAAAAATAAATAATAAAATTAATTACTAAAGTTATCTAAAAAATAATAAAATACGAGCGATTCGGTTATCAGGTAATCAGTTTCTATACAAAGTACCTAAAAAAAAAACATTTTATGTAGGTAAAAAAATGTATTGGGTAAAAATCTAAATTGTTTTTTTTTTTACTAAATTATGTAACTAAAATATTTTTAACTAAGTAGCTAAACGTGGATAAGTTTATTATAAGAGAAAAAATTACGTCCTCGTATTTTACTTACCACGTTCTGTATTGGCGCTATTTTTATTTATTTTTTTTTAGTTCAGACGCAGTCAGCATGCTCATGTTGTCTTAAAAATCATTTGTCCATTAGTCACATGCAGCGAAACTAAAATATTTGTGTGACTGTGTTTTTATAACATGCATGTGACTTGAGTTTATGGGCTCATCTTTTGGTACTAGTGCAAACATTAATTTGGTGAGAAACACAATTAAAAATCAAAATTTTTTAACTTAAACACTTTAACTCCTATTTTTGGTTTTATTAATATTTAAAAAAATATAAACATTAAAAAGTTATTAGATGATTTATAGGGCATCATTGCAATTAAATCTGCATGGTGTGGATATTTTTGGCAATACACTTCTTATATTATTGATTTGTCTAAACCTTTCCAAAAGATTTCTAAAGACTCCACAAGATATTCTAAAAATACTGAACCATTAGGTATTGATATCAGCTAAACGATTGCATACTCTAAAAAACTTTTAGAACAAAAGCTGTAGCAAATTTAATTCTTAACATTCATTATGATAGATAATGAAAAAACGTTCAAAATGAGTCCAAACTCGACACATCTAAGTGTTACAACCCCCAAGATATCTTTGTTTTTATAAAATCAAGATGGCCGAAAACAAAACACTAATTATTTGTGTCATTTATACTTTTAAAACTGAATGTTATGGTAAATATGGGATGTGGAGCATCACATTAGGCTACAATTTTCTGATTTTGACGAAAATCTTAGTTTTTTTTAATGAAATTAAATATTTATGGAATTAAAGATTGCCGAAAGGAAGTAATTCCTAAATATTAGTGAAGATAATTAATTTTGATGGTAATAATCGGGAATCCGAACATATTACAAAAATATTTTTAGAACTAAAGTTGTAGCAAATTTTATTGTTAACAATATTGCTCTCTTGCACTTTTGCTCTTAGATACGTCAATATCGAGGTAGATACGAAAATATGAAAATTTGATGAATTTGTTGCTCTTTCAAGTTATTAAAGGTAACACTTGAGAATCGGAGCTCGCTATAAGAAAACTTTTATAACAAAAATTGTTGCAAATTTTATTGTTAACAATATTGCTCTCTTGCACTT